CTGTAGTAACCATGGTTTTTTGGTGCATATACCATGATTTTGATACCACAGTACTACTATAATAATATTGCAGTAATAGTACTAGAGTAAAACTGTAGTAACCACAGTTTTACTAAAGTAGGTTGCATTACATTTAACAAAAGTTGTGCAATGAATCTCTACAAAATAAAAAAACAGCACAAGTTACTATTCTAGGATACAGACTTTATTAAAGCAGTTACATCATTTGAAAGTGAATATAAAGTGTAGCATGTGTAAGAATGTTTACCTCTGACATAAAAAGATTCAATTCAACTTCAATTTTTCAAAAAAATATTGGAGATAAAGTACTGCAGTGCAGTGGTAAAATAATGGTTTCAATCAATAATTTACACTTAAAAAGAGCACTAAGTTGCTCCACTGTAATTTAAAAAAAAATCTCTACAGAAATGAACAGTCCTTTTAGAAAATCAATAAATACAAATGTACACTAAACCTACATGTTGTTTGTTTGGTCCGCACAGCAAATAAACATGGCTTATTAGTGCACCTTTAATTAGACAGTATCTTACGGCCAACATCCCCTAAAATGTTTTTAAACATGTCCACATGACACATGAACAAAAGCAGATGTTTGTGTTCTATACTGAACATCCTTACACAGATTAACAATCTTAATTTTAAAAACATTACTTATAAAGCTAAAAAATGAGGTTCCTTTCATTTAAAAAGTGTTAAACATAATACAAAATGTATTTACAAGAAATGAACAGTACTTTTAAGATGTTTAAAATGATATTCACTCACATGAAATGAAGACTTCAGTCAAATTCAAATCAGTGGCTTAAAGCAAGCTGTTTATTCTACATGGAGTCACCTCATGTGGGCAGATGAAGGCCAGATCATCCATTCCAGCAGTTGTCAGTATGAAGTCCAATGAAGAATGTCATAACAGCCAGACAAGATTTGGTTGCACAATTATCATCGCTATATTATTATTATTTTTTTTTTATTAAAAATAATCATTTCAAAATACTAGTCCAGTGACAAGACATTTTAATTTTGGGAGAAAAAAAAAAACGTTTTCTTTACAAAATCTTGCTTAATTATTTCTCCCAAGGTATAACAGTGTCAGCACACCCATAGGCCTATTTAATTTTGTGTTCAGTTTACTAGAAAACACAGCGTGGTTAATTTTGTAGTTACTATGGTTTTACTGCAGATATTGTAGTAAAACCACGGTTAATTTTATGGTGTTACTTCAAAAACATAGTTAAACAATGATTCTTGTAGTAAAACCACGGTTAATTTTGTAGTTACCGTGGTTTTACTGCAAATGCTATGGTAAAAACATAGTTCATTTTGTGGTTACTATGGTTTAACTACAAAAACCAAAAAAAAAATGGTTCTTGTAGCAAAACCATGGTTAATTTTCATAAGGGAAATCAGGTTTAAAACAAATGTATATAGTTGTATTTTTGGAGCCCCCTACACTGAAGTGGAATTCTGTCCACATGCATTTGTTGCCGCTGTAAAGCAATCTGCCCTTTTCACAGAATATCGTACCTGCTCACCAATCTTACATATTCTCGGAACAGACGTTTGAGGGGGAGCGTGAGAAAGATACAGAAGCTGTTCTCCTTATTAGAAGTCAATGTACCTTCACAGTATGGTTTTGAAACTTAATTTTTCAAGGTAAAAAAAAAAACTGACGTGACGTGGCGTGGCCAAGTATGGTTACCCATACTAGGAATTAGTGCTCTGCATTTAACCCATCCTTAGTGCACACACACAGCAGTGAAAACACACCCCGA